CCCCTGACTGGGCAAGCTGCTGAGCAGGTGTCTAGACACAGCTTCCAGTGGGCAGGAAGCTGGGCCAGGCAGCAGGAGCCCCAGGTCAGCCCCAGCTTCTCTCATTCTGTAGGAGGTGCTGATTGCCTGAGGAAACTGCAGGCAGATGCAACAGCCGGAAAGGGTTCGCTTGCGCCTCAGCTGTTCTGCAGCAGCCCCCTGAATGGAGGGACAATGGGGTTTATTCCAGAAGGGACAAAATGAGAGAGAAGGAGATAAAACATTTTGAGAAACAAAAACAAAATCACCTCCACAACCCAGCGCAAACCAGGGAGAAGATAGGCAGCCTTGTGAGGCAGGCTGACATTCCAAGATTTCTCCAGTCTCCACACACAGGTCCCCATCTAATCGAATTAGTGGCTTTCTGACCTTAGGAGGGAGCGAAGTGCACACATGGCCGTTCCACTTTTCACTGTTTGCTGTTCCACAGGTTTCAGGAGATCTCGGCTCCTTATCATCAAGTAGGCTTTGTGCTAGAGCAGCTGTGTGGGCTGGGGCTGGGTTGTGGTGCTTGGCTGACCAGTGCAAAGTTAGGGAGGGAGGGAGGGAGGGAGAGAGAGAGAGAGAGAGAGAGAGAGAGGAGAGAGGAAGAGAGAGAAGGAGAGAGAGAGGGGAAAGTGAGAGAAAAGGGAGAATGTGTGTGTGAGACGGAGCGCTTGTGTGTGAGGGGAGAGTGCGTGTGATATGCTTATGTGTGAGTGCTCTGGAGGCTGGAAGTTGACATTAGGTGTCTTCTATTACACGTTATTTTATTTTTTCAACATCCAAAGCTTTTTTTTTTTTTTAAATAACAGTAATAAGAGGGGGCTGGAGAGAGATGGCTTAGAGGTTAAGAGCACTGGCTGCTCTTCCAGAGGTCCTAAGTTCAATTCCCAGCAACCACATGGTGGCTCACAACCATCTGTAATAAGATCTGGTGCCCTCTTCTGGTGTGCAGGCATACATGCAGGCAAAAGGCTATATACATAATAAATAAATCTTTAAAAAGATTAACAGTAATAAGATGCAGGGTTAGTTTTTGGTAGCCAGCCCTGGCCCTTGGTTGAAGGTAAGGATCTTACCTTAGCTTTCAGGCTCAGCTGGTCACCCAGAACACATACTTTCAGCTTGGACACTTCCAGAACCTGCATGTCATCTGTGACCATCCCCACAACCACAGCTGTTTTCTTCTTTCAGTCAGGACGTGTCATGTTTTGGATCATCCAGGACAGGGACAAAGTTAGGGCAACTCACTAACTGGCTGGTTAGTGCAATTCCTAAGTCATGCTTTCAGCACAACCTGATTGAAAATGGAGTTGGTTCATCTAGCTGGCTTGGCCGGCAGCCTCAGAAGACGTCCTGGCTCTTGGGCTCCTGTGCCAAACCTTTCAGGGCCAGGGCCAGAAAGTTTATCTGTGTGTGTGTGTGTGTGTGTGTGTGTGTGTGTGTGTGTGCCACATGTGTGTAGGTACCCTGGAAACCTAAAGAGGGTGTTGAGTCCACTGGAGCTAGAATTATAAGCAATTTTGAGCTGCCCTGATGTGGGTGCTGGGAACCTAACTCGGGTCCTCTAGATGGGGCAGCAAGCACTCTTAAACTGTCGAGCCATCCCTTCAGCCCCCCCCACTTCTGCTTTGAGACCTTGATGGTATAGATTGGCTGGCCAGTGAGCCCCAGGAACTCTCCTGCCTCTGCCTCCTGCACTGTGATTACAACTACTCGCCAACACAATCACCCTTTCATATCGGTGCCTGTGATCCAAACTTGGGTTACCCTACTTTCCCTACAGCAAGCCTTGTACCCACCAAACCCACCTCAGCCCCCTGGACGTAACAATATTTTCAATTGACTGTGTGTTTGTCAAACAGCCCTCACCTCAGTGGGGGAGGGTGGTAGAAGAGAGCTATTTCTGTACCCAAATATCATGGACTGGGAACAAATTCAGGTCACCCCAAATTCCACATCTCGGTGTGGTAACATGGAGATACATGGAGATACATTCCATACAAAAACATGGAATTTTTGTAGTAACAGAACAGAGAAAGTCACAGATCCAGGCACTTTCAAGTATATTGTTGGGAACATCTGGTGGGAGGTTGTAGCCCAGCAGGAACCTCAGCTACAGGCTGCATTCAGGTGCTGTCTGGTGACATTCTTAGCTCTGGGGCTGGTGGAACCTAGGGGCCCTGTTTGTACATCGCAAATGATCTGCCTAATAGTCACAGGACATTAGATGACAGAGAGGCAGACAGTGGCTACTTCAGGGGCCGAGATAGCTCAGATAATTTGTGACTAGACCCTGACTTGCAACATTCTAAACTCCCCACAATCAAGGAAGTTTTAATCAGTCAGTCAGTTTCTTCCCAGGAACCATTGTTCATGCATCATCTTAGATTCAGCTGTTGTCGCAGACACAGAGGATGCTCTGGTTTGCATCACACAGCCTGTCTCCTGGGAGAGCCTGCAAGAAGTGGTCCAGGGTGATACATCTATTCTATCAAAGATCCAGGCTGCTTCCGTCTGACTGCTCTGTACCTGCTCACAGAGTCAGGTGGCTGCCAGTTCCAACCATCAGATCCTCGTACTGGCTGGCGGGTACTCACTTCCTGCAGCCAGCAGGAAGTGGCGGGAGAGCAGGGGACCTCTGGCCTCCCACGCCACACCAGCATCCGCTCTCACTGCTTTTTCTTCTTGCTTCTGATCTCTGCAGCATTACGGGGTGCTGAGAGGGAGGGGACAAGAAAGAGGCCATTGCCATCTAATTCCTACCAGCTGATCCCCCTCACTCAGGTGACCTTCACAGGACTGACCTATTATCATGCCCTTGTAGGAGGAGCAGGGGATGGGTTGGAGTGGGGTGGGGGTGTCACTAGACCCTAACCTGACCACCACTTCTACGCTCCCCTTTGTAACTCTGTCCCAGATGCACAGGTCTCAGGGGGGGCTGGAGTGCAGAGGTGGGGGGCTGGTGGAGGCCAGGGAGGGGTGGGGATAGGGGTGGAGGTGGGGACGGGACCACTCCCATCCATACAGCTTTCAAGCTAGCTTTTCTCTTTTCTGGAGGCTTCATGTTAGATGACTGTGTTTGGGGTCCAAGACTGTGTGGCCCACGCTGGGTGACCTGCTGCCTTCTCACTGTCTCAGCCCCACACAGAGCCCCACTCCCCACCCTGGGTCAGAGAGAAGAGGCGTCCTGCCAACTCTGTCCCATAGATCACTATTTCCTGCTTCCCAGTGCCTCTTCCCTGTGCGACTGGCTAGCAGGCAACAGAGCCAGGGGCCACTTGAGTCACTGTCCCCATCCTTGGCGTTTATGGTCGCTTGGGGCCTCATAAAGCTCAAAGGCTTCAAACAGTAATAAAGAGGCCCAGTCAACTTGGCTTGGGCAAGCTGCAGAGGGGTGCTGGGCTCGGGCGGGAGAAGCCATCTCCTCATCTCTGGCACTTCTCATCTCTCGGAACATGGAGTGTCGAGTTCACTGTGGATCTCCCCTCTGACAGATGCAGCTTCCTGGGTCTTGCATACTTGATGGGGATAGAGATATATATTTCTGCAGAACACAGGCTTGGGAGTGGGAAAATGTGCTCAGGAGGAAACTAACCATGCTCACCGTGATCACTGTCCTGTGGGGTCCATTCCAGCTGTTTCCAAGTTGTACAGTATAGATAGATGCAAACAGTCCCTCCGGGAGAGCGTCACTGTCCTCCATGCCCCACCCCTCCCAGCTGCCTTTTGCTTCTTAGATTTCCCATTGTAGCTGAGACTTTTTCAAGCCCCCCTTAAGCTTGCTATAACCATCTCTTTTCTTCTTTTGTTGATGAATGAGGAAAGACAATAAAAACCACAGTTTTATCTTTTATGTTGCTCTGATTATTACCATCGTGGTTAGCAGAATTGAACTAAAATCTCACCACTGGAGCTCTTAGAGTCTTAGAGTTGGCTCAGTTGGCTTAGCTGTGTGTGTCAGCTCTTCAAGCCTGAGGACCACATTTTTAATCTCCAGAACCTGGGTTAAAAGCCAGAATTGTGCTGCCTTCATGAAGTGTCAATTTTCCATTCTTCTTTATGGTCTGTGACGATGCTAGCCCACATGGCTGGTTAGTTTTTTCCAGCACCAGACATGATTTCCCTTTTACTGAACAGACCAAAAGTGTAGTTGTGTCTCCTAGAAATGGCAGAGAAGCTACATCATGAAGTCCCATCAACATGGTTTCTTAAACAAGGTCTGAACAACGGAGACACCAGTAGGCTAATATGGCCCCAATCTAGACAAGTTACTATAGGTGATTACAGAAAGCTGGGGCGAGGAGGGGGGGAGTCTTCCCCAGGAAGAGCCTCTCCCCAGTTGGTTAGTCAACACCAAATGGCCAGTTCTGAAAACACATACATGCATGTAACATTTATAGGGACTGAACAGGTTGTGTTTATATATTTAGGGATATATACATGCATACGCATATGTAGCAACGATTAAAGAAATAAAAATCATGAATTTGAGAGATCAAGTGAGGGTGGTTCACGGGAAAGATTGGAGGGAGGAAAGGAAGGGAAAATGATGTAATTATATTTTAATTAAAAATAAATAAAAAGCTGAGTATGGTGGCATTTGCCTGTAATCCCAGCATTTGGAGATGGTATGTGGAGATGGCAGACCCAGGGAAGCGCCAGGGTCTGCTACCCTGGTGTGTGGCCAACTAAGTTGCAGGGCTCATCGCTACCGCGTACTGACTTGGTGGTCTCGGTCAGATTGCTTCACCTGTCTGGGCTGCACCTCAGTTTACTGGGAGGAGAACTTTGCTGCCAATGCTAGATCACACAGATAGGAGCTTTTGGGGGATCACTAAGAACCCTGGGCTCTCTGGATCCACGCGGCGCCCCTTCTTCCAGACCACGCCCATTAGGGCCCGCCCCCTCGGGTTATTTAACCGGAGCTCCACGAGTCCGGCTTGCAGAACGCGTTCAGACCCCAGCCGGAAGGAGCCAACCGCGGCCTCTGCGCACTCTCCATTGGCCGAGAGCGGCGGCGGGGCAGGCCCAGGCCTGCGATTGGCTGTTGGAGCGAGGTGTCCGGAGGCCCTAGCGGCCAGCAGGCGCTGGCGGTCATGGAGACCCCTTCCGTGCTGACCCAGGGGGCTGCGCAGCAGAGGGGCCCCATGGCCGGGGAGAAGCCGGCGCAGGACCCATCGGAACCGAAGCCGGGGCGGCAGAGGCCGGGGCGGAGGTGCGCACGGCCGGGCTGAGCTCCGCGTCTGGGCCGGGGTGGCCATGCTGCCTGTTCCTGCACAGTGTGACACTGTCCACTGCTCGCGGTGGGCTCTCTCCGTCCCTGCATCCCCTATCCTTCCATCCCCGGCCGCAGACGGGCCACCCGAGCAAGCTAGCAGTGTCCTTGTCCTTGAGCCATGACAGATCCTATCCCAGCCCACCGGGTCCGGTCCTGGAAGACTGGCTCCATGGCTACCTTTCTCTGAACCTACCCACCAGGCAATCCCAAACATGGGAGGCTTTTTGTTAGGGTGGTGTTTGAACTGAGTCTTTAGGGATGAGAAGGAGGACCGCGGTTGGTGGCTATCCACGTGGCAGGATCAGAGTGGGCAAAGGCACAGTCAGGAGTGGACAGACATGCCCCTCGGCTCCAAAGAGTTGTTCCTTTTAGGGTGGTAACTCCCTGGTCCGTAGGATCCTGGGAAAGGTATCAGTGCAGCCTTGGCTTGTCCTGTTTTGTTTTTAAACCCACAGCAGTGAGACAGATGCGCCATTCATGCTATAGGGTGGTTGCTGGCTGATGGGAAAGGTATTTCTGAGTAGAAGGGATCCCAATATGGTCCCTTCTTACCTGAGGAATTATAAGGTGACAAGGACAGGCAGGATTGTTCTGAGTTCCTTTGGGTGTAGTGGAGGATAAATCAGCCAGGGAGAGGCATATGGAAGAGAAGGGTCTGGGAATGAACTTTGAAAGGGGGTGTTTTGCGTGGCCTAATGACTCAGGCCTGTAATTGCAACTACTTGAGAGGGTGAGGCAGGAGATTCACAAGTTTTGAGTTCAACCTGGTTTAGTGTCTTAAAATAAAAATGTAAGGTCTTGGGTAGATTCATGGTAGAGCACTTGCCTAGGACGTGGGAAGTCCCAGCCCCAGCACCACAGGAAAAAAAGAAGGCATCTCCATTTTAATCTGCTGCTGTCTGGCCATCTCTGTAGTTCCAAGGGTTTCCCAGTTTAATTGCAGAGGCCCTGGGTCAGCGAATGATGGGTGATCCTTTGGAGGGAGCTGAAGTCACAGTGGATGGCCCTGGGAGAGTTAGGGGATTCCAGTTTAGATGCCTGCTGATCCTTAAAAGGCTACTGTAGTGTTTTCTCACTACTCATAAAGTGATACTGTAAAACAGAATATTTTAAATGATACTTTAAAACATAATAACAAATGAATGCTTCCCGATTCTGGTAAACTCAGACTTTGCAACTTTATGAAGCCAAGATACTTTTCCTTGTTATTATGCATTGGTGAACAGTGGGACCCAGTGAGTGTTCCCTGCCCCTGAGTGTGGACAGGAGACAAAGCTTGGTCCTAGCCTCTCAGGGCCTTCAATTTTGCTAGTTCTTGAAGACCCTATGTATCCATTGGCTGCAGAAGGCCTGTGGCCCTAGGAAGTGCCTGTCTTGGAGTTCTCAGTGTGGGATTTGCCTGTTGGATGGGGAAGATGTTTACTCAGATACGGGCTGCCATTTGTGTTAGTCCAAGCAGAGGCAGGTCCTGGCGGCTCCTAACAAGATGAACCCCAGCTCCTCAGTCTCTGGTTCCGTGCATGCCTCTGGTGTATGCTTTATTAGCCATGTCCAGAGATATCTAGCAATTGGCTTCTGTTATTTACTCTTTTGGGGGGCTGAGGATGTAGCTCAGTTGATAGCTCAAAGCCTAATTCAGTCACAACATAAATGGGACATGGTGGAGCACCCCTGTAACCCCAACACTTGGCAGGCGGTAGGAGAAAGATTAGAAGTTCCGTGTCATCCTTGACTATGTAGTCAGTTCCAGACTGGCCTAGGCTATACAAGACTGTGTATTGAAAACAGAACAAATTAATCTTTTAAAAATCCACCCTTTGCCTAGGACCAAAGAGGACCAAGGAGAGGAAACAGCTTTTAGAGATGTGGTCAGTTTCACCCCAGACCCTTTACCAGGTGAGTTGACTGAGGCTTCCAGTGCAGCCCCCACTCTTCTGTCTGTCAGGTCAAAGTGACTGTGTGAATTCCCTGATTCCCATTATTCCTTTCTGTTTCCCTCATGGACCAGTTAGATATTATGACAAGGACACCACCAGACCTGTCAGCTTTTACTTATCATCCCTGGAGGAGCTCCTGGCCTGGACCCCTGTCATGGAGGATGGCTTCAATGTAGCCCTGGAGCCCCGGGAGCGCCGACAGCCCCCACTGAGCAGCCCTAGGCCCCGGACCCTGCTATGCCATGACATGATGGGCGGGTACCTGGAGGACAGGTGAGGTTCCTGACAGCACTGGTCTCGTTGCTGGCCATCCCAGGATGGGAAGAGGGTGGCAGTTGGAGTTGGGAAAGCAGGTTCTAATAGACCTCTGACGCCTCAGGGAGAGGAACTCAGTTCTATAGGTTAAGCTTCACATGGCAGAAGCAACTTGGAATCGGGTGAGCGCGTGCCTATCTTAGCTACATAGACGGCTAGTTCCTCAGGCTGCCCCAGTAGGGAATGCCTCCCATGTCTCCAGATCTCCTGGCGCAGCAGCCATGTTCTCATCTGATACGTCTGTTGTGCTTCCCCTAAGCTCTCTCCTCGTTCCATCTCTTGCCTCTGGCTTCCTGTGTTCTCTCTCTCTCCCAGCTATCTAGCTAGATGGCATTTTAAACTTCCCATCCAGGATGATGGGAAGCTGAGTCAGAGCCAACTGCCCAGTCTGGGGCATGGCCAAGCTGCAGACATGGGGAGACACAGGCACTGCTGACCCCACGCACAGGGCGGAAGCCAGGGACGGGGCCTGTGGCCAGCCTTCCTGCTTCCTTCTCCTTCGCCTGCTCACAGAAGCCAAAATGCTGTCTGTGCAGATCCAGCCGCCTGAGCCAGTTCCCTGGCTGCTGAGTGAGCCCTCCCCAAACACACTGGGATTTGGAGATTAGGTGTTGCTCTGTAGTTTAGTCTGGTAGAGAACTCATTACTTAGTCCAGCTGGCTTCCACGTCCAGTCCCTCTGCCCCAGGTGCCTCCATGCCAGGCACCCTCCTCACTGCTCCTTGTGTGTCTGTGTGCATGTGGAGGCTGTGGGGGGCGGGGTGGGGGGCAACCTGGGCTATTGTTCCTCAGATGCGTCCACCTTGTTTTTGAGGCATGCTTCCTCACTGACCTGGAACTTACCAAGTAGACAAGGCTAGCCCATCTGGGACTCTCCACTATCTCATCCCTGAGTGTACAAGCACCCTCTTACCATACCTGGATTTTTTTTTTCCCCCTTTGGTTTTTCCAGGGTTTACTTTGTAGTTCCAGGCTGACCTCCAACTCACAGAGATCCACCTGCCTCGGCCTCCTGAGTGCTGGGATTAAAGGCGGGCGCCATCACTGCCCTGCTCATACCTGGATTTATTTATTTATTTTTATTTTATTTTTAAGTCAGTTCTGGGGCTGGGACTCATGCAGGGCAAAGCGCTTTGCTGATTGGCTGTCACCCCAGCTCCTGCTTCTTCCTGTTGTTGACAGAAGAGCCTCAGGTGGTTCCTGCTGTCGCTCCTCCCACACAGGGTCTCACACAGACAGAGCCAACCACGAGAACCGAAGTGGGACACCCCACCCAAGGCTGCTCCCCCCACCGGCGGGGGGTCGCTGTGTGGGACCTGACTCTTGCGTGTCTTCCAGGTTCATTCAGGGTTCGCAGGCGCAGGACCCCTACTCCTTCTATCACTGGCAGTACATAGACGTGTTTGTGTACTTCAGCCACCACACGGTCACCATCCCCCCAGTGTGCTGGACCAACGCGGCACACAGGCATGGGGTCTGCGTGCTGGGTAAGAGCCAAGTGGCTGGTGTGCCTGTTGGGCAATCCTGTGATGGCTACGTCCATGGGTTAGGACGGTATCTGCACCTTTCCCCATGGTTCTTATTTTTAGCACGTGGCCCATCAGTCAGTGTGGTGGTGATCAGCGTGAGGGCCTCTGTAGATGATAGGTAAGGCAGAGGGGCCATGTCCAGGACAGCATGACTTACACGAGCAGTGACTGGGTCTGGCCCCAGGCCATAGTTTGCCAACCACTGGTTCAGACTGGTGTCTCTCCAGCTTTGTCCTGCGTCCCCCGTGACCACATCCCAGAGCAGCCCTGATTGAATGTCTGCATTTTCCTGTAGTCCTGATGTCCAAGCCCTGGGTCAGAGGAGAGCCACCCGTTGCAGCTGTTTCTCTCTCTCTCCTCACAGGGACCTTTATCACAGAGTGGCAGGAGGGAGGCAGGCTCTGTGAGTCCTTCCTGGCTGGGGATGCACGCTCCTACCAGGCAGTGGCTGATCGGCTGGTCCAGATGGCTCAGTTTTTTCGTTTTGATGGATGGCTCATCAACATCGAGAACTCTCTGAGTGTAAGCACTGCAGCTGCGTGCTGGCGCCTGCCCCCTGTGTATACTCCTTGCTTTGCAAATCCTTTTTGCTTGCGTCCACTACTCTGACTCCTTGTGTTGCCCTCACACCTTTTCCTGACCTGCTCTTGCTCCAGAACCAGGCCTCAGCCCATGGCAGCAAGACCCACTTCTCGAATCCCAGCTAGGGCCATCGGTGCCATCTCTGACTGCAGGGAGAGGGGAGCCCAGCTATTCCATGAGCTTCTCTGGCTTCGTTCTTCTTGCCTCCTCCCTTGGTGTGGCCACACGCTTTCTCCCCATCCCTGCTTTGGGCCTGTGTGGATTTTCTGTGGCCATGGACCCCATCCGTTGCTTTTTATCTTTTACTGAGTTCTGGTCTATTTTCTTTTCTGTCCAGCAAGGATGGCCAGGTCCTTCCTCCCTTGCAGCTGTGGGACAAGGGACATTTTTGGTGGGGTTGGCTCTTGTGGCTTCCCTTCTCTACTATATTGGGTTATTTCTCCTGACAGACATGCCCAGCCACGCAAAGGGTCTGATCTCCCTTCCTCTCTTGCAGCCGGCTGCTGTGAGGAACACACCTCCGTTTCTCCAGTACCTGACCACACAGCTCCATCAGCAGGTTCCTGGAGGTCTGGTGCTCTGGTATGACAGCGTGGTGCAGAGTGGGCAGCTCAAGTGGCAGGATGAACTCAATGAACAGAACAGGTGAGTGCCAGGGGTGGCCATGCAGGAAGAGGAGAGGGACAGATTACAGGACGGCCTGTGTGGGCAGCTTTGGGTAGGAGAGAGCAGGTGGGATCGGCACCCACCAGGCTGGAAGCTGCAGACTCCAGTCGCTGGCAGCCCCAGCCCATGGGTGATGTGTAGCCCTGAGCATCTAGGAGGCTAGCTGCAATGGTCTTAGCTGGTCCTTGCCACCTCTCAGGATCTTCTTTGACTCCTGCGATGGCTTCTTCACCAACTACAACTGGCAGGAGGACCACCTGCAGAGGATGGTAGCACAGGCTGGTGAGCGCCTGGCTGACGTGTATGTGGGCGTGGATGTGTTTGCAAGGAGCAATGTGGTCGGAGGCCGTTTTGACACTGACAAGGTAGGTGGTGGCCTTGGCACTGCACCAGGGCTGCTGGCCCTCGGTGGCCTTTCCTTGGGGACCTTCCACTCTCATTAGCATCTTAAGGGAAAGAAAGGGCAAGCGTTCCCTGAGAAGGGAAACCAAGGCATCCTGGAACTCACGTGTTCCTTCCAGCCGAGGCTCCAGTCAGACGGGCTGAAGCACTGTTTCCACTTCTGAGTCAGCCCACAGATGCTCACTTCCCTCCTGGGCCACATACGTTGGAGGGCTTGAGAGACCTTTTGTGCCACTCAGTAGATACAGGGAGTGTTCAGGGGGCTGTAGGGGACAGAGGTGAAGCACTTGTGTTTGGGACCAGTGAGATTTTTTTCTGGTCGGTCATCTGAGCAGCGAGGAAAGGTGAGCAGCAGGTCCAGTGCCTGTCTGTCAGTCATGCGGGAAGCTGGGCCCTGGTTTCACTTCTGTTGTTGTAATAAAGTCCTCTGACAAAATGCAACAGGAGACACAGGGGTTTAATCCCAGGCTACACTTCCAGGCTTCAGTCCACCCGTGTAGGGAAGTCTAGGCAGCTGTCACATCCATGTCAGGATCAGGGGGAAGTGAAATGAGTGCCTGCTCACTCTCAGCCAGCTGTCTTCTCCTTCCCCTACCTCTCATTATTTGAGACAGGCTCTTCCTATGTAGCCCTGGCTGTCCTGGAACTTGCTGAATAGATCAGGCTGGCCTTGATCTCCCTGTCTCTGCCTCTTGGGATTAAAGGTCACCACGTCTAGCTTTCTCCTCTTTCATATTGCTTGGGACCTCCTTGCCTAGGGAATGGCACTGCTTACAATGGGCTAGGCCTTCCCTACGTCAATCAGCAAGACAGTAAACACTCAGACACGCCCACAGGCTGACCCAATGTAGAGCATCCCTCACTGAGGCTCTTCCCAGGTGATTCTGGTTGTGTAAGGTGTCAGTTAAAACCAAGCAGCACAGTCACACAGCCCAGTGGCTGCAGATTGCCTACCTGCTGTGACTCTAGCAGGATGAGAGGTGTCTCAGAAGAGAGAGAGGATGGGGGAGTCACAATGAGCCCAGCTGCTCTGTCCACCAAAACGGCACCTTCTTGGTTGAGTCCACCATGTTTTCAGCTGCTTCTCTAACACCCTCCTTTAGCTGGCTGGTGGGAAAACAGGGATGAAGCCCAAGACCTTCTGTTTGGAGTTGTGAGGGAGAGTTTTTCCTAGCTGGCCCGGAGAGATCCGTGGCTGTGAGCCGGCATCCAGGAAGCCTGTCTGGACTCTCGTCCCAATGTTCAGCATCTCCCTGGTTTCTGTTTTCCCAGTCACTGGAGCTGATCCGAAAGTACGGCTTCTCGGCGGCACTATTTGCTCCTGGCTGGGTGTATGAGTGTCTGGAGAAGAGTGACTTCTTTCAGAACCAGGACAAGTGAGTCCCCAAGCGCGGCCTGGCAGGAGAGAGGGCATCTCCGCCTCCATGGCGGTAGCTCAGGTCTGGCTGTTTCATAATCCTCTCCAATGGGGTGGTGACTGGAGGATGAGGAGGATCGAATGAGAACAAAATGGCCACCCTGGCAGCTCCCTGGCAGGAGGGAACAGAGTGAGAGAACTACTTGCTGCCAGTGTCATCTGGCCTGCCCCTATCTCCCCAGTTCCCCACAGGGCTGCAGGGATGGGAGCAGCACCCTCACCCTGACTCCCTTACACGTCCGTGTCTCCCCCCCACCCCGTCAGGTTCTGGAGACTGCTGGAGCGTTTCCTACCCACACACAGCATCTGCTCCCTGCCTTTTGTCACCTCTTTCTGCCTGGGCCTGGGGACTCGGAGAGTCTGCTATGGCAAGGTGCGTGGGTCACAGTGCTGAGGACAGGATGGGGAAGTGAGCTTCTCTGTGTCCAGCTTCTGGCTGGGATGGGCAGGAGGGAGTCAAAAGGTGTGTATGGTCTTCCTGCCTCTACCTACCTCTGCAGAGGAGGTCCCTGCCCCTGTCCCCATTTCTCACCTTCCCCTCTTTCTTCAGGAGCAGGCAGTGGGGCCCTGGTACCACCCTAGTGCCCAGGAGACCCAGCCCCTCTTTGGTGAACACAAACTGGCTGGAGACGGTGCGGGTTGGGTGAAGACACAGTGCTGCCTGGCCGACGCTTGGCATGGGGGTGGCTCTCTGCTGCTCCGGGGCCTGATCCCACCCGAGGTTGACAACGTGGCCGTGAGGTGGGTGAGTGATGGGTGGGGCGTGTGGGCCTCTGCCTTCTGCCCTCTGTCTGCAGCTAAATTAGGCAGAGGGGTCTGCAGGAGCCAAGTGGGGACAGAGGTTTTGTGGTCACACACATTGTACGGTGCCTCTCCGGCCTTCTAAAGTGTTGCACAGCTGTGTCAGCAGGAGTCTGAAACAACCCACTGCGTGGCTGCCTTAGATGGTGCACGGGGGGAAATTAGAACCAGCTGAGTGTGGCCATGGGGAAGGCCAGGCCCTAGCCACAGCAGGGCCAGGTGTCTCCCCACCCGACTCCCGAGCCAGGCAGTGAGGGGCTGATGGAGGATCTACAGTCTGTTCCAGCTCTCATGAGGTTTCTCTCCCCTAGGTTGTTCTCCTTGCATGTCCCAGTGCCACCCAAGCTTTTCCTGTCAATGGTGTACAAGTTTGAAGGCTCGATGGATGTCCAGGTGGCTTTGGAGCTCACAACAGGGGAGGCCGGCAGCTGCCATGTGGGTAGCGTGTCAGTGTTGAACGGTGAGAGGCTGGGTGACTTCATGGAAAGGAGGTGGAGCTGCTGTAGGTGGGGCTTCTGTGGGCGGGGCTTCTGTGGGCGGGGCAGCTCCCACCTTGGGTGGAATCTGTGGCTTGTGGTCATTACCTGCACATAGCATGGTCTTTTGGGCAGGTTGGATTCAGGTCCTCCTCTGGGCAGGACATGGAGATGTTCACACTGGCTGGCTGTGGAGGTGGCAAGGTGACAGGAGCCAGTCCTAGACTCACTTCCCACTTGTCCTCTGAAGTCTTCCCAAGGGTCTGCCCCACGAGGGGCCTCTTAGATCCCTCTCCCCGCCACTGCCCCTCCAGGGGCCTCCTAGACCCTCCTCCCTGCACTGCCCTGCCAAGTGGACATCCTGCCCCTCTTAGGTTTTCCTGTGGGATTCTCCTTTCTGAAGCCCATGTCTTCTAGCAGAAACTGGCTCAAGGCACAGTCCCCGACCCCTCCAGGTGCCTCCCACCAAGCTGGCCAGATGGGTTGGCCGTTGTGGCCAGCAGCTCAGTGGGGGCTGGATTCAACGGTGAGTCCCCTCCTATCAAGTCCCCATAAGGGGATGGGCACACATGGGGGAACTTAAGGAATGAGCCCCCCACTGAAAAACCCCAGGACAAGAGAGAAAGAGAGGCCTTGGTTTGACTTTTGAGGCAACAGTGAGACAGACCAGGACTCTATTCATGAACCAGCTATAGTCCTGGGCAGCCCTGGGGTACCGCCTGGGATCCTTTCCCCTTCATACTGTGGCTAGGGCCCTCCCCATAGCTGGCTTGCGAGCAGCTGGTGTTTTTTTTTGTTTTTTTAGCTGCTATGAGGTGAGCCTGCATGGGTGTCTGCTTCAGGACCTCTTGGTGAGCTTCTCACGGCTACCCGGCAGTAGCCGGGAGGAGAAGAGCTTTGTTTGTCGTCTTGGAGAGATCCAGGTGTGTCTGGGCTCCTGGGGAGGAGGAATGGGTGGATGGAGGCACTGAGGAATAGGTATATGGTAGGTGTCTGTCCTCCCTGGGCATCCTGCCGGCAACCTTCTCTCTCCTCTCTCTTCTCTCCTCTCTACCAGGTGGTTGATGCCAACAGCCTGCTGGCCCCTCTGCCTCGGGTGCAGAATGTCACCATTTCCCAGATCCGCTGGGTTCCCTTGATCTCTGGGTCTGAGGGCCTCCCTGCCCGGCTCCTTCTCAGCTGCACCCTGCACTGGTCCTTCCCTCTGCTCCAAGCCCGTTGCTTCCGGATTCACTGCTGGGAACGAACAGGAAGCAGCTCTGCAACTGAGGAGCCCTCTGGGACTGAGAAGCCCGTGTTCCTGGGCCTGGCTTTTGCCAACCTGTACCGTGTGGTGGACTTGGCCGTGGAGGCTGCTAGATTTGGGCAGGATGGTCGTGTGGAGTTCCTGGTGGAGCCTGTCCCCAGGGAGGGATTCCTGGTGCCTCAGGCCGAGTGGGGCAGGGCAGCCCTGCTCTACTCAGCCCCTCAGTGAGCCCACCACAGAGCACAGTGCCTTCTTACCTCAAGACCTGGGATTTCTTCTTGGCCAGCTGCCCAGGACGGAGGGGATTGCTGAGTGCAGCTGAGGTCCGCAGGAAGCCAGGTCTCTAGGCCCTGGCTATGCTCTCAGGAAACTGCCCTGTAGGTGCTCTGGGTGAGTCACCTAGCATCCACATCCTTCTGTGTAATGCTCTCCATGGAATGCAGGTCTCAAGAAAGAGGGAGAATGTTTGAGGTTTCTTCCAGAAAGTTCCATAAAGGCTGTTGCTCATAGTCTGGAAAGATGCCTCTGTTGAGAATGGTGGCCATCCATCCCTGTGGCTTTGACAATTGGAGACAACCTGACTGGTGGAGTAGGGACCCTGAGGGGCCAGGATTTGTGATGCTCCCTGAAGGCCGAGGCAACACCCCTCAGGGCAGGAGTGGGGTGTCAGGGGTGCTCACAGGGCAGCTCCCTCAGGAGGGCATTGGCACCACACCCCCACCACCAACTCCCTCGCCTCTGCATAGGCTGTCTGCTCGTGGTGAAGGTGCTGAGGCAGCAGGGTGCCACCAGGCTTCTTCCCCTGTGTCTCCCTAGAGGCAGGTGAGCCTCGACTCCCTCCAGGCAGGTACATCCTTAGCGGTACAGCCCTGTTGACCCTGGGCTGTGTGGAAACTCTGTGCTGTGTATCTGGGCCTTGGGAAATGCCACCAGCAGTTTTTCCTACTTCTGCCAGTGTTTCACACTCAGGTCACAATATAGAGCTCTCTCAGCCCTTCTGTGTTCAGACATGTGACCCTCTTTGACAGAGCTCTGGGGTCTGATCTGTGGAACTCATGTTGTAGTATGGGGGAGGCCACCGGATGCTAGGGCAGCCTGTCACCATCCCGCAGAGGTGAAGGGGTTGGATGGGTGGGGCTTCCTCAGAGTCCTGAGCACCAGGCAAGGAAGGCACTCTATCGGTTGACGGTGCCACCACCCATTTTCCCTGATTTTGTGGGTACTCTGTCCCTCTTGAGTGAAGTATAAGGGTGAGGACCTGGAACCCGAGATCGGGAACATTTTGCCCGGCTTCTTGTGTGGTTCTACCAGCTCTCACAGGGACAGGGGCTCTGGTAAAGCCCAGGCTACTACTTTACCCTGGCATAGCTCCACCAGCCTTGCAAGGTGGGAGAGAAGCACCAGGGCTGTGCTGGCCTTACTTCCTGTGGATCGTTTCTGGCACCTGCCCCAGAGTCCTGGCTCTCCCACTCCCTGCCAGGGTACTATGCCTGGAGTGGAGAGACCGCAGGCGTCAGGTAGGGTAGGTGGATGGTTTGGGGGCAGTGCAGCATTCCTGAATGCCCTGCTTCCCTTGTGGTTCTGGAATCCGAGTTTTTAAAAGTGCTGGTTCCTTCACATATTTTATGCAGAGAAGGAGGAAAAATTTATGGTGGCTATTATTTTCTTACAGTCTGGTGAGCAAGCAATTAGAAGGAAGGGGCTTAGCAGAGCAAGGCTCGAGGCAGAGCTGCACAACCCCGCTCCCCAGGAGCACGGTCCCCAGCCCCAGCAACACTGGCTCCTGTGCAAGAAAATTAATCTGCCGGCATTTAAGCCTCGGCCCCTCTGGTGGATGTAATCGCTTGGAAATAAATTATCCAATGTGAAAAACGAGAAGACGAGTCTTGGTGCGATCTGACGCCTGGCCCCAGCCCTGAAGCTTTTTTGTTTGGATTCTGCGCCTCTCCTGGCTCTCCCCTTGTAGCCACCCTCCCCAATGGCTCTGCCGCCTTGCCTCTTTCAGAAGTCGGGGCTGAAGGCTGGAGCAGCACATTCACCTTGGATGGAGGGCCACAGTCCAGGGCATCCACACCATAATGGTCTCACTGTCCATCCTGGGCTCTGTAACCTCTTACATCCAGCTGAACACCAGCATGCTTCTTTAGGTGTAACTTGTCGCACAAGCCTTGGGGGCTGTCCTGCTCTACCAGCCTGTCTTAATGTGGGGTGCAGCAGGACAACCCGAAGAAGGGGTTGGCACTTCCCACTTATTGGCCCAGAGGGTCCCCAGCTTCCCCATTACCACCTGCCTCTCCCAGGGCTGGGCCCCAAACCCCCGTCCTTGAGTGCTTTCCCCCAACCCTGCCCTGCCACCTCTGTGCCGGGAACTGCTAAATCAGAAAAAGCCATCCTGGTTTGAAGAAAGAAATCTTTATTAATCTTAATAATAATACTGCTAATTTGAATGGTCACACCGTGGAAGCATACCGAATGGTAAGAAAGGAAGCCTGGGGCTCGGCTGCAGTCCTGGGGGAGGGGCTGGGACGAGGGGTTCTGAGCTGCTGTGGGAAAAGGGTCCGAAACAGCAGAAGGCGAGGGGCCCTGTACCGAGGACAGAGCCGACAGAGCCGGAGGCAGGCGCGGGGCTATGTACAACAGGAATAGAAAAGGAGGGGCCGTTTCCATAGCTTCGGTGGCTGATGCTGGATAGAAAGTGAGGTGATTTATTTTGAGGTGTCATGAGACAGTGGTGCCACGTCGGGAGCCATGGTTTCTGTTATTATTATTATTATTATTTTTTGCTGTTAATCCTACTCCACCTATCCCTATCCCTGCCTTGCCAGGGGCTTCTTGCTACCTGTCTGACCCCAGTACCATCCACTGAGCCTGCTGCTTCCCTGTGACTCCCACCACACATGCCCAGGGAGCAAAGGGGTCGCAGCTCTGCTGGCCTTTCCTGTGGCCGGGCCAGCCCAGACCTTCCCCATGGGTCCTGCTCCGACTGTGGCCCTCCAGACCCATGGCACCTTGACTCCCAACCTCGAGGTGCAGCCCAGGGCTGGCCCATCCTCTATCCCTGCTCCCTAGCGCAACTGAGCCTACAGAAGGGAGCGGAAAGGAGGGCTAGCAGGCAGCCATCGAGCCCTTCTTCAGGGAGGAGGCCTCTACCAAGGAGTCCTGTGCTCCAGGGCCCACCTGTCGACGATCTCAGCATGAGGACTGGGTCCCCGCTGGCTGGGCGTCCTTTGTTCTCTGTAGGGGAAGCTTTCTCATGTAGGGGAGCGGAGCATGGGGTGCCCCAGAGTTCTGGAGCCATGTCAGCCCTTTGCATTGGGAACTGGACCCCAAGGCGGCTGGCTGGGCAGCTGACGGCACTGGCAGCACATTCTATGACGCCAGCCTGGAGACCTGGGATAAGTGGCAAGCCACTGGCCCCTAACTGCCCCCAGCCCCTCCAGGGCTCAGCAGGCGATAGCCCAAGTCAGCTGGCTGCTCCTTCTCAGGGGCCTGCTCCACCCCAGGAAGCCCCTGCCTGGGGAGCAGGGTGGGAAAGGAAGACCGGAGAGATACCCGAGCCCCCCCCCGCCCCACACCCACGGGCCACATTTCCCCCCCAGGTCTTCACCAGCGCCTGGCGGCATCCCTACTGCTCCGCCAGCCAGGCAAGGCCACTCTCCGGCGCCCCCTGGGGGACGAGCTCCCTCGGTGCGGGCATACGCCAGACGTGGACTTGAACTTGGTTGGATGCCTCTTGGTTTGGTTGGAATTTGTTGTTGTTGTTGTTGTTGTTGTTGTTGTTGCTGCTTGGATCTTAACATCTTTTTTTGTTTTGTTTTTTGTTTTGTGATTTTTTTTGTTTTTTTGTTTTTGCCCTTCATGGTCCGAGAAGGAGACGGTGGAAGGTTTCACTACAACAGAAACAGAAAGGGAAGGCTTGCAGTTTCTGAGGGGTGGCTGCAGCACCTGGGGTCCCTGTGCCTGTGGTCTCGGGTGCAACCTGAAGCCACAGTACCCCGAAAACTGTCCCCCCACAGCATCTGGAACCCCACCACAAGCTAAAGTAACCATCTTGTGAGGACGGGCAGGGCTGTGAGTGGAAGATAATCAGACCAGGTAGAGGGTGGGGTGCGGTGGAGAAGGAGCAGGGCTAACAACTTTGGTCACCTTGTGGTCCTGAACCCCCGCCTCCCCCCAGGGGAGGGGCCAACACCTGCTAGCCTGACCTCAGGTACCAACTGACATCCTTTTAGGGACTCTAGGCAGTAGAACTGGGTGGGTCCCCACAGGCCACAGAGGGACATGCATGCTAACAGAGGCTCGGGTGGCTGCAGGAAGGCTAAGAAGGATGCAGACCCGCGTCCCTGGCCTGACTACTGGAACCCTCCCCTCTTCTGCAGGGGTCCTGACAAAAGTATGTTGAGTCTCAGGTTGGGTGGCTCTGTAGGTCAAAGGTCAAGGACAAATACCCAGAGCTATCGGTCAGCTTCAGATGCCTGAGGAGGTGGGTCAGGCTCAGGGAGGGTCTCCAGGTCCATCAACACGGGGTGGCCCAGGGGCAGGGGCAGGGGCAGGGGCATTTCCATTTCCATAAGGAATCCCAGAGCTGGGGTGACCACAGCAGTATGTGCACAGAACAGTGTGCTTGTGACTACTTTGACAGGAGAATAGTTAGTAAAATTTAATAGAAACATTAACTTCAGCGGAGTGGAAGTCTAGAGGGCCGCAGCTACTCCAGAGGGCCATAGCTACTCCAGAGGGCCACAGCTACTCCAGAGGGCCGCAGCTACTCCAGAGGGCCGCAGCTACTCCTGACATTCCTAGAGAAAGGTGGATGGAGGCCCCCCTCCCACTGAGAAACCCATTGACTAGGCCTAGAGCTAGTCACCAAGCATGGGGGTGGCCAGGCCTGCAGGGGTTAGCTGAGGTGGCTCTGAGGGAGGCTTGGTGGCACTTCTGGAGCTCTGAGGGCCTGTGTTGCCCTGAGTCATAGGCGTGGCCCTGGTAGGACAACTTGCCGTCCCCCCGGCCTGGCTCCCGCTGTAGGCATACTGTACCTGAAGTGGCTTGTATAACATCAACAACGTCAAGATAGGGAACCAGGCTCAGACATACAGGAAAACCAGGGTCAGAGACACACACACCAGCATGGGTGGGGTGGGGAGACCAGCTGGCTGGAGGTAAAAATCTATGGACTTTAGAGTCGCAGAGGGTCAGTGGCGCTTGTCGCTGACCGGGAGGGGTGCACTGTCCTCCTGGTGGCTGTATCTGGTGTTGGGACTGAAGGGTTTGGTTTGGAATAAGCTGTGGTGTGAATGCTGTGAGGGGGGTCTCTTGCTAGTAGGGGGTGAAGCGGCTGTACCCTCCTCGGCAGAGGCTAGCCTGCAACATCAAAGATGAAAAACAGCCAATCAGTACCATCTTTTGGTATTGGGAGGAAAAAAATCAAAAAGAAAAAAATAAGGAAAATCAAAAAAAAAAAAAAAGAAAGAAAGAAAGAAAGAAAAAGAAAGAAATAGCTAATCCCACTTTCTTTCCCCCAATGGCATTTCTTTGGGAAGAATGGGTTTCTGGTTGTCATAACAACCAGGGGCCTGGTTCCTCCGTGGTCTTGGGGCTGGGAGGGATAATCGTCCCTTGCAGACTTCTATACTGTCTCTGGGGTCACTTATGGTGGCTTCAGCTGGGCTCACTATGCCCTCTGGTGGAGCTATCTCCTCCTGCCCACAGGGCTAGTCAGTTTTCTCCATCATGGCTCCTGGTCAGTGAGTGTCTCACAGCTCCTACCCTGTATCTGGGTCTACTAGGGCCTGCTAGGCTCGGCTCTGTGTCCTGCCGGAGAGGCTTCTGTGGAATCTTGTTCCCACCCCCAAGTTTTGCAGGAAATGGAAGGAAGTAGCAAACACAGGAGGAAAAAGTCGGAGAATGCCTCCCAAGCCTCGAAAATAAGCCGTAACCAAGAGGGGCCTGTGAGTCAATCACAGCTTTTAGCTAGCGCCTTGAGGCTGAGCTGTGCAGGCAGCCTGGGCCTTCAGGCTGCAGTCCTGGGTCTAGATCTCTTCCTGTGTGGTTGTGGCACCCTCTTAGCTAGAGTCCCCACAGGCCTGCTCAGGATGTCTGAGGCTTGTTAAAAATCAACAAAGACAAAAATCTCAAGGGAATAGTCAAAACCAAGGGAGGTAGAAAAAAATTCATGTTTTCCCTCAGCTTTCTCTCTTTACTGCCCCCCAAGTGTTTTCATCTTTGATGCTGGATGCAAGCTAGAAACATATGTCAACATCCCTGGGGGGGGGGGGAACGCTAAGGCACAGGAAGTAGGTGTACACCGGACACAGACTGGGTTACAGAGGGTCTGGGCTATGTTGACATCCGGGCACACACACACACACACACACACACACACACACACACACACACGTACACATGCACACAGACACACCAGTCCGCCCATTCTCCCACCCTGAAACCGTGGATGAGGCTGCTGGAAGCCACATCCCTGGAGCCCTGGGTAGTCTGGGAAGAGTGTTTGGTGAGAAAGAGTTGCTGTCTTCTAGTCCCTCTGAGAACTGGAGGGTGGGGGTTAACCTCGGACACTTCCCAGGAAAGAATGGGTTATATCTGCCCAAACGGCCAGGCCTCTGCAGCCACCGCAGGGAGGAAAGGCCATGGTACTGGGAATGGAGGGATCGAGACAGGATTGTGGTCACTGGGCTCCGGACACTTCCAGTCATTGTGGAGGGTTGAACCTGCCTTGCAGGCAGGTCCGTCCTTCTCAATAGTTTTTCCCAACTCTTAGAGCTAGGCACTGGCTGGAGGCCTCAGCCTCTTCCTGCAGCCCTGTCCCACCCATCCCCTGGCAGGATGGACCTCCTTGTGTTACTGGCAGCTGTTCTTACCAT